ACATCAAAAACTTTAGCAATGAAGGATGACTCAATCGAAAATGCCACTGGATGGAATGGAGATACAGTAGCACTCAAGGCAAGAACTATTGTGCTGTAATCCAAAGAGTAAGCATTATTCTGCTCATGCCTCAAACCAATCACTTTCATCATCTAAAGGTTCTAACCACACAAGAAGATGGAGAAAAGGTCGATGAATATTGTAGAGACTTTATTAATCGACTAACAAATAATAAATTGAAAGAAAAATGAAAAACAAATAAACAAGATGTTAAAGACATACATTCAGTAGGATGGATATCACTAGTCCCACGTACTGGTCAAAAGGAACAATCAACTAATACAATTCAAGAGTTAGAATAACGAAAATTAAAAAATAAGGATGAAATACCAAACATGTGGGCACTAGCTCCCGAATCAATAATACAGGATGGTGAACCTGATTGAGCTACCCACTGTAAAATAATCAACAGTGGCCAAACCGACAGCTGGGGTAGACAAATGGGGAAAAAGTGAAGACAATCTTATACTACTAATAAAAGTGGCTTAAGTGAAAAACTTTTACTTTCCTTATATATCCTTCAATAATTCTATAAAGTCTACTTTTATTCTTTTTAAACTAAAATTAGAGAAAAAATTTTGATTTTTTATTTATCTTTCAAAAATTATAAGATGTCTACTTTATCCTTTTTTGAGGAATTTTTTATTTTTTTTATTATTTGCATTAATTCAACTAATAAATTCATTGCTTGACTTTTGATTATCTTCTTTCCAAAAAATATAAATTCGTTCTAAATCCAATTTAAACAATGTGATCCGAATCCAATTCAATTGTCCAACGAATTTTATTTTTTACAATGCATAAATGAGTCCGTTAAAATAGATATCCGTTCTGATTTGAATAAGTTGATTAGAGACGATTTTAATATTTAACACATGGATTTCTACTCAATTTTATTAAATAATCACCAAATTATATCATTTGTTCGTACATACGTAATGTATATTCAAATTCACTAAAGAAATAAATATTTAAACAGATCTAATAATCTATATACTATTTTTGAATGTCAATACTTATTAAAAAAACTTAATTGATAATATTATCCTTAAAAAGATAAAAAGACAATAATAACCTATTGTAGCAACTTTTTATTAGTCCAAAAAATTAGTAGTCATCCATCTATTAATCATTTATTCAAGTTAAACATTTATAGTTTTTAAATGTAATGAAATGCAATGCAATGCAATTTTTTTTTTTTAACATTATGCAATTCAGTTTATACAACCTAAAATACGAGAAAAATCTTAGGCGTAACAGTTACCACACGTTAGAAGTGTCACTTTACGTAACCGTCCACTAACAAGTGGACAAGTGAGTCCCATAAAATTCAATAACCATCTCCATATAAATATAAAGAAAATTGGTTCAATTTATTTATTTTTATTTACGAAAATTAAAAATAGTCGGCGTACAACGCACACATGTACCAACTAACTGCTAGACAAGTTGAGAAGTTTAGAATGAGATCCAGACGTGGAAATAACAGATCCACCGATAGATAACTGAGATACACGTGAGGTCGAGTCATCAGAAACCTGATTAGCATAGGCTAGTCTTCAAATGTTTATTCCAAACAATAATCCTCAATATATTCAGTGTCTCTAAAATAAAAACACTCCCACTCGAAATGATTGCCACGTCCTCCACCGCATAGCCTCTACCACCTTTAGGTGCATGCGTACCAGTGTTGTGAAAAAGCGAACCTAGGCGAAAAGTGAAGCAAAGCGAGCCTTGAACATCCAAGGTAAAGCGAGGTTAAGTAAAGCGAGGAAAAAGCGAGTTTAGGCGACGAAGCGAGCTAGACGAGAAAAGCGAACGCCTACCTGTAATTTTTTTATTTCCTCCTCCTCCTCCTCCTTCTCCTTCTTTAACATTAACCAAACCCTAGCATTAACCAAACCCTAGCAGAAATAATGTTATATGCGTATATATATAAAATAAATTGATTGATTCGTGTAACAGTATCATATGACAACATGTCTTATTATGATTAGATAATGTTGAATGCTTTGTTTTGATGTGAATGCTCTTGTTAATCAATTTGTTTGGTTAATCAAATTGATTAATCAATTTGTTATATGCTCTATTTGATTAATTAATTTGTGAGTGCTTTGTTTAGTGGTGATATTAATCAACCACGGTGGAAGTTGAACCCACATTTGTTAACTTTACATTTAGATGACTTGATTATGTCAAATGATTATTTTTAAAATACAATATTATTCAATATTTAATATCTTTTCTATTTAAAATATGTTGATATTTATTATTTTGATTGCATTTAAATATTTTGTATTCGTAGAGTTAAAATTTGAATATTTAGGAGTAATCAAAGTATGAAACTAAAATATTTGCTTATTTTTTATATTGTTCGTTTTGCTTCAATGAAGCGCTCGCTTCGCTTCTCGCTTCGCTTCTCGCCTAGGCCTTCAGGAGCCCGGTTCGCTTTGATTCGCTTTACACCTTAAATAACACTGATGCGTACCACCACGACGACTGTAAATTAAGTCAAAGGACTCTTGAGACCAATGAGTAAGAGCAGTACGCTGGAGGCAAGAGTAAGCATTTGCAACAATTAGATACGCTCAAAAAGTTCTTAAATTCGAGACACATGTTACTGTGAATACATCTCCTCGACAGAATCTCGTATCTTCTTAGTTGTATTAAGAAGTTGGATTAAAAACTACAAATGATTCCATACTAAGCCACAATCAAGTCATCATCTACAAATTCTTACTCCACCAATCTTCATAATTTTTAGAGTTTCTGAAGAAGGAATCTCAGTCAAATACTTAACTTTCTTTTTAGCCCATAGGAAAACTTTAATCGCATGCAACCAAGAATAGTAGTTGATTCCATTCAATTTCACGAAAGTAATTTATCTAATCGAATCATCCACTAAGTGAACCTGTCTAACCTGATCATCGACTATAGGTACATTTAACTCTTCCAAAGTTGCCATAATGAACACCAAAAAAGAAATACAAGCAATAGGAGAGCAAGAAATCAATAACCCTCACATAAACAACACACACCACAATTGAGGCAAAATCAACAAAAACACCCAAGAGAACAAGTAACAAAGCCACTGTCAAAGCAAGCCAAACCCTGCCAAAGCAAACCGGCCATTGTCGAAGCAAACAGGCCCCAAGAACCACCACATCAAACTACCAGTTAACATTGATCAAAGGCAAGAAAAGAAGGGGAGAAGAAGAGGAAGAAGAAAAGAATATTATTAAAACTAATCCAATCAGTAATACAACCTTAACCTAGAATAAACAATGTAGGCCCTTATATATTAGGGCAACAAAATAATGTAAAATACCTAAACTACCCATAATATAAATACTTTAACACTACCCACCACAGATTCTTCCCAAAAACACACTTAGAAACAGCAAGTTAACTCCCAGTGCACTGGATGATGGCTGGGCAGAGCTTCTACACAGTGTCAACACTGTCCACACCATAGAAGACACCAAAAAAATGACCCAAACCACAATGGATCAATCACGAACTCCCTCTAGAGTCTTAATCGAACACATCTAGACTAGAATCAACCAGAGAAAACATCCCAAAGGCTCCTAGTGAAGAGATCGTAAACCGGCACAAAAAATCTAAGAATACATTCAAAAAATTGAAAGTCCATTCAGATGGTCTCAAAAAATTTTGTAAAAATCACCATAATTACTAGGGCATCATTCTGTTGTGTTGTTCTTGTGATTATTTATTGAAAAATATGCTCTGCTACCAAATTGAATTGTAAACTTGAGATTAGGGTTAGCATAAAGAGTAGAAAAGAGAAGAAAGATTGAGAGAAATAATGTGTACGGGTTGTGCTGCCTTACACTTTCTTCTCTATAGGTGAGAAACAATTAGGGTAATTACAATATTACCCTATATTCATTAAATATGACTACTACATAAAATAACAACTCTAACAACACAATCCACCAAAAATGCTTACAGTGATATTAATTGAAAATGCACCAAGAACTGGCACAACATAATTCATGAAGACATCAATAAGAAGGCAACCAAATGTAGCCAGGAAAGCAAAAAGAATGGTTACATATGAGAAAGGAGCCCCAAAGTTTGATGATGAGCATTATTCATTTCCTAAAGCTCAATGAATCTTGAATGAGGGACATTTATACACAGACTAGAGTGGAGATTAAGTCTAAGAAATCTTTACTCTCTCATATGTGGGATTACTATTCTACTACCAGTCTTTGAGAGACACAAAGAAAGCCATAACGGTAAAATTTCAGATGACACCACAATAGAGAAAACCAGAAAAGAGGAAAACCACAGACTTTAGTTTACTAAGGCTCCTACTATTTAGAGTAATCAAAGAATTACAGCCTACAAAGATAGGTGGTTTGCCTAAATTGTTTAAATCCAGGCAATTTGGATGCTAAAATATTACCCACTAAACTACCATTTGTCCAGGCTAGTTATAAGCATGCGGCTCCTGGTCAGATGACTCAGATCAACAACTCAACGGCTTACCTCATAAAATTCATCAAAAACTCTAACAAAATTCGTTGCTGTTCCAGGTATGACATTGGCTATATTTGCTGAGCCTTTTTTGGCTAAACCGAAAAGTACCACTCATTTTGCTAGCAAGAACCAACGCATCTAGATTCACATTATTCTCAATTGACAACAGCAACGTCCTCAATACCAAACCGAGCCTAGCCATCTAAAATTCTCCAGCCTAGCTTTCAATAATATACATCCGATGAAACCCAAAAAAATGCTTCCAATTCCAGTCAATTTGATCACACAATATTCTGCTATGGGAAGCCACAAAGACACAACCCAAAAGTGGTCCCTATTAACCAATGGCATGGGAAAAGGTGTATTGGGTACAACCCTTTGTTTAGCATCATTTGCACAAAGTACAAATCATCGGACCCAAACCCATGTTCTCGCTAGGGAGCCTAGCACAACACCAAGCAATAGCCCACAATATTTCGCGAAATTAAAAAAAAAAAAATAGAAAACAAAGTATACATATCAAAATAGTAACTTCTTCATTTTATGTTTGTAATTGAAGTCAAGAGACAAAGATTTATTGAAATACATTCCCATTAATTGCTTTTAACTAAAAATATTAACAATTTACTATCTATCAGAATCTAGGCATGTACATGATAAAAAATAGTTGTGAAACATGAGTTATAAATCAAACGGCCCATATTGCCTTTTCTTTTTCTCCGGCAAGTAAGTGGTTGTGTTGGTTAATTAGCAAGTATGCCAAAAGCAGAAATAGACCACATATTATTTTGTTATCTATCTAATATTACAGCTAGTAAGTTGAATTACCAACTTATAAAAGCAAAAAACTATTAAGATTGAACTAATTTTCATCTACTTTGATTCAATGGTATAAAATTCATCCCAAATGTTTTTTTTTTGCCATTAAAAAATATCATTTTCATTGCACAACCCCCAATGCTAGACAACCCCACCAATTCACACCTATACCTCTATTCTCTCTCCCTTATCTCTTTCTTTATTTTATTTTTTGTTCATTTAATTTTAAATTATGTGCTTAAAGAGAAAAAAATAAAAAATAAATTTTAAATGTTGTACAATCAATATTCGATTTTTTATATTGCAAAGTGTCTTAAAACATGGAATTATTGCTATTGCAACTATATGTGACACTTTCCTCATCAATTTACTTAGTTATAAACAACAATAAATTAAGAGTATCACATTGAAAATGCAGGGTTTGCGCTACATGACCCAATAACACTTTTACCTTCAATGTAGAGAGATTATTTGAGATTTGACCAAGAACTTGGTTGTTCTGTTCCAAGAGATGCGTTGTTGTGTCACTTAGTGCTGGAATCAACAAACCAAAAGAGTAAAATGACAACCAATACCTTAAAAATATTATAGAAATGAACAAAGTAGTGGTTCATCTCTACAGTAGATATGCATGCCTAACTTAAAACATTAACAACAAGATAAAGCAACCAAGGATCAAAATTTCGTTTCAAAACGCTCGAAATGTCCGAAATATTTCCATTTTCAAGGAAATCGAAGCGAATCAGTAATAAAATCGAAACTCAAATACTTCGACATGTTTCATAATATTTCAAGGTATTTTGTAATGTTTTAATGCATTTGCATTATTGTTTCAAAATATTTCAAGGTATTTCAAGATAATTTGGTATATTTCGACCAATGTTTTGAAAAAATAATTCTTAAATATTTTATTTTTTTTATTTTGTTTTTGAAACGGATTAAAAACATTTCCTAAACAAGTCGAAACGTTTCCATTTCTAGGTGATCGAAACAATACACCAAAACAAAATTTTAATCCTTGGAAACAACATAAACTTCATAGAAAACATTCTTTTTGTTTTTTGTTTCGGGTGGGGTTTCCTGAGGATCATTAAAATCTTAAACTACAAGTAAATCTAAATTTATCATATTCCATTCTCCCATCAGTCAAAATGCATATGAATTTCTTCCCATCATTCTTACGATATACAAACTTGTCAAGTTTCATTGCTTCTGAATCATGTGAACCTTCAGTACAAGGTGAGGAAAACTGTCAAATACACCTAAATAGGAACAGACTTTATGTGAATATATGTATGACAACAATGCATAAAACGAGCGGAAACTAAACTAGTATTTGGAGATGATGGGTGCATTGAAGTAAAGATCGTGCCAACTTTAATCATAAACTGAATAAATCTAGAAAAAAATTAACCAAACTGACCAAATTTGGCAATAAAGTAAGATAATCAATTTTAAAAAAGAATACCAGATACAAAGGTCTAATCAAAAGAATTGCAGACAAGAAGAGAAGATACATCATCTCCTTGACCAAGTATAATTTCATTGTTATGTTCACACACATGTATATGATTATTGTTATCGTCTTCTAACCATTTCCAAGTCAACTTGTCATTTTTTTTTTTTTGTCTCCATGCAATACAAGACTGAAGACTAGAATGCATCCTCTAGTAGACCTCGAAAGTTTTCCATCCACTTTCTTCATGTTGCTTGGAGAAGAAAAGGGAGAAAAAAGGGGGGAGGGGGGAGATAAAACTGAAATATAATGGGAGATCAAAGTAATCATTTGGCAATTGCAAGAAATTACACATCTATTTTGCAGGTTTAGAAGGAAAAAGGGAGTAGACAAAAGAAAGTTTCTCAACAAATAATAGAAGTCACTAACCTCCCCAAGGCACACAGACATTGTGGTCTCGGTGACTCCTAACAAAAGAATATGCGGCTGCTTTGAATGGCGAAACTGAAGAAATATTTGTCTTCCAGGATGATTCCACCAATTTATCCTGAAGAAGCGAGATCCTTATAATGATGGTTCTTCAATCAACATTAGATCCTTACAACATTAATGACTCATTAAATTCCAAAAAAAAAATCCTGCTAGTGGAATGGTAAGCACTAAGTTCAGTTGAAATGACTTGCTTTCAATAGTAAATCCATGTTTGAATTTGTTGGAAACAAGTGAAAGAACAGTACTCATCTGACGGTGGTATTGCTAACTATAACTATACTCTTCCAAACATCATGACAATTGATGTTTGCAAAACACATCAATAGCACATATTCTTATCGGCTGAAGCAGCAAGCAGGTCAGAGCCACAAGGACAAATAATGTCAAAATCAATCAAATGGGAAAAGAAATGACAAGATAAACAAGTTCTAGACGGGACTTGAACGTAAGTAGTAGTATCACAACCTAGAAAAAGAAATGGCCACATTGAAAATCTATTTTGTCATTATTGGCCAAGAAGATGACAAGATAAACAAGTTCTAAAGGGCGCTTGAACCTAAGTAGTATCACAGTCTAGTCGTATACTGAAAGAGAAAGTTCTAGACAAGAATGACAGAGTTTAAAATAAACCACAAATTCAAAACCTTTTGGGCAAGGCACCATGGTGGTTGTTAATGTCTGCTGACATTGTTATCACAGACGTTGATGCTCAATGTCCCAAGTGACTTATAGTGGATTTACCAGACTTAATCATGTCAACAAGTTGTCACATGGTTGTGACAGTCATTGACAACAGAAACCCAAAGATAATTGAGTTCACATACCTTCATATCTTTCAGTTTTTTCCCCAGATTATGGTCTTCCAGTTTCCTTCGTTTTCTCTGCAAACATTTTGTACCAAGATAAGCATTTTCACTCAAACAGGCAGACCTCAATCAATTCAAATACATGTGTTAGCAAACAAGAAAGAAACAAATGTATTTGAATATTTATCTTTTTCATTCTGTTGATATTTATAGTTTCTCCAACGACTGATATCACAAGAAAGTATATGAATGCAGCGAGTAAAAAGCTCACTGTGAGAATTTGAAATGTTGTACATCGGTTTATTTTTCCTCTACTAACTAGCTATTTGGTGTTAATCAATATATATATAGTTTTGGGGTCAAAGTGTAACTTACCAAAAACCTATGGGGTACAAAGCATAAAATATTAAAATTATTGTAATTAGTACTTGTGTGCATAACTAGCATATAATTTTATAATCGAGTTAATTAACATCAAAGTGAGTGAAAGAATAGTTATTAGGGTTATATAGTGATTTAACCAAACTTGGGGAGAAGAAAGTGTAATTAAAGAAAACTTTGTGCAATATGAGTGAGTGCAACCAGCCATGTGCTTGGCTGAAGGAAAAAATGGAGTATGGATTGGTAGAAATCTTCTCTCTGCCAACTCTTTGGCAAGTAAAGGCATAGGGAGGTGGGAAATAAGGTGTAAGATGGAGTAACGAGGCATGGAGGTGAAAGAAAAAATAATAATGATGGGGTACATAGGTGGAAGATAGGATGACCAAAGCTCAAGCATAAATAGCGTAGCAAAACCATGGGAAGTCTGCACTATCTAGAGCAACATCTAGAAAAATAAAAAATAAAAAAAAGGAGAGAAAGAAAGAGAGGAAAGAGATAAAGAAAGGAGGAGGGGAGGATTAAGGAAGCAAAAGATAGGCAATTGGTGTTCAAGCTCTAATTTGAGGTTGGGGAAGTAACTTCTTGGTTCTCTACTTTCATTCTCATTAATATGGCATGATTATGGTAATCATTTGCTGTAATGTTTACACATATATGAATAGATGTATACGTAATGTATGAAGATTATGATTAAAGACTTTGACTGTGAATATCTAAATTACAGCAGTGTGGTTCGTGATTTATTAAAAATCACGGATTTATAATTTTGCTATGAAAATTTAGGGGAACAAAGAAGACATGTAAATGAAGTCTCAGAAAAATTTTCACACGAAAATATTACTGTTAGAATTTTATACAATTTTCCAAAACTTCACTGTTGTAACCGAAATTTCTGTCCCTGCAATATCACTTGTGAACCTTGTTTGATTGACCTCCCAAGGTGTAAAAGATATCAATTTTTTACAGTAAGGAATTATATGTGTCTCTTTGCTATAGGATAAATTTTGGCACAAGATTCAAGTTATAGAATTTTTAGAAAATCTCAGAGGCCATCGATGTCGCCCAGAAAATCAACACACAGGCAGTAACTTTGAGTAGGTTTTTGAACTACCTTTTGATAGTACATTAATACCCCAATTTTTCCGTAGATTGCGTAACTATGTGAATTGTACACAAAATATTTCATGATTTGATTCAGACTGTAATTTTTTAGAAATTCTTCAAAACCAATGCCCTATTTTAGAAAATCATGAGTAAAAGTAACTCGTTAAATTAAAATGTAGTCAAACTTTATATCTAGTGAAATCTGACCTATAATTGGCACTAGGACACCCAAGAATGGTTGAGAATTCTTCATAAATAATTTATTTTGTGTCAACCTGTGCAACACACTTTTTATGGATAGGAATATTGATGTTAGTGCAAAACGACTATATCACACGATATGGAATCGAGTATTTTACATGTTAAGATGTAAAGTTTCCATGGTAAGATTATTTTATGCATATTACGTTACATCATTGTGATGTGTACTGTGAAATTCTTGGGATTGATCCATGGAATTAAGCGGATTAGATGCCATGGTGGCGATGGTGACATAATGGGGGTTAGCAAGTAGGGATTGTGTCTCCCTTGGGTGTTAGGCCCTAAGCCAAGTCTGGGCCAAGAGTTGTAGCACCCGAGAGGTGTGCAGGTTACTCTTATCCTTGATTGAAAGCATTTAAAAACGAGGGAGTGGGATACACCCTAGGTGTGAGCCCTTAAAGTCATCCTAAGCTCCCTGAGTTGTTGGACTTAAGATGGACGGTCCAAAGTTGGTATATGAGGATTTGATCTAGAGTTATAAAGGAATATTAGCTCAAGTTGAATGTAATACAAAGCTAATTGGATAATTATATGTTATGTAGCTTAAATTTAATTGCTTAGTGTGTTTTGAAGACCTATGGGTCATTATGTAATATTTGAATCCAAGAATGCTATTATGTCTGAGATTATGTTTGGATTGATTTCAACAGTTCAGTGATGCCTTGTTCAAAAGAAACAAAAAAAAATCGGTAACTTGAACCATATTTGGCATTGAACTTATAAATAAATTTTCAAACCACTCAATTAGGCAGAAAAGTCTGGGAGTGACACTCACCGTCGTCCACCTGCATCGCAGTGCCACATCACGAACAGTTTTGTCACGCAACGATGCTGCAATCTTAATATACCTCATAATACTAGGTTCACCGGCAAATCTACAAATTCCATACACAAAAATGAAAATATTAATGTGATCACCTGATCGAATACAAAAAGCATATGAAATTTACCATTTTAAAACTGACAATAGGAAAATCAAACAATATCAAAATTGCCCAATGAAAATCCAAAAACTACAAATTGAAAATCTTAAACAGATTTGAAAATATGCCGAGATGCCATTGAAATACAATAATCTGAATCCTAAAAGCTAGAAGAAAAAAATATTGGCCACGGACAGTGATAACAGTGGTGTAGAGCGGATAGTTATAGAAGGAAATACCTAGGGCGTGTTTGTTTTGATTTTTAAAAACAATTTTTTGATCTCAAAATTTTAAAAATAAGGAAAAGTAGTTTGGTTTGAGTTTTGGTTCTCTAATTTTCTGAAAAAGAGGGATGAAAAGAATAGAAAATAGAAAACAAGTTGGGCTTGTTTTTGAGTGTTTTGGACATAAAAGAAGAAAACACGGAGAACACACCAACTTATTAATGAGGTCTCCCCTTCGAACCTTCTTAGCAGCAAAAGAAATCCCATTATAAAAAGGTTTTTTTTTTTTTTTTTTGCCTTTCTCTCTTTTTTTTTGCCCCTCTCTCTCTCCACTCCGGCGAACCAGATGAAGAACACAAACTAGATTTTAGATCTGGTTTTCTCCGGTGTTGGCTCCAACGTCAGTTCTAGCATCGGTTTTCTCTCTCTCTCCAACATCAGTGTTTAGTGGTTTTCTTTGGTTACTGGTAGTAGATCTGGGTTGATCTGGTTCCAACGTCGATTTTTTTGTGTTCAAATTTGGGTTGATCTGGGTTCCAGCATCGGTTTTCTTTGGTTACTGGTAGTAGATCTTGGGATTCAAATTTGTGTTGATCTTTTTTTGTTCTATTTTTTTATTTTTTTGTCCATTTTCAATTTATTGGCGTTTGGTTTATTGATTTTATATATAAATTGATTTATGGCATTATTTTTTTTTTGAAAAAAAATTTATTGGTGTTTGATTTATTTATTTTATATATAAATTGATATTGAATCTATTATAAAGTGATATTAAAAATTTAAGTATAAATTGGTTTATTTTAAAATTTGGTTTATTGAAACTTTTTTTTTTTTATGAAATTGTCCATCTAAAAATTACTTTCTCATTTTCTTTTTATTAATTTTTAAATTATTGTCTAAACATATATCTAGGCTGTCCAAACATGTTTTAATGTTTTCTGTTCTATAAAATTGTTTTTAGAATCATCTAACAAAACAAGTTCTTTATCTTAGAAAACATCAACACACACTTTGTTAAAACTCTTCTCAAAAACTGTTTTCAGATACAATTTTTTGAAACACAAACCAAACAGACCCCTAAATTTTCCTATATCCCTTATTTTATTTTTTTTGCCTAAGTTCCCTTCTAGGTATATAAATTGCTTAGGCTTTTAAAATTAAGTTCCTTACAATTTTTTGGAACAATAATAATGTCCATGTCAAGTAGTTCATAGCTTAAATAATGATCTTCACATATAAAGTCTATTATAAAGTAATGCATATTTTATCACTAGAAGCTAAGCTTTATAATCTTAGAGGTCAACCAACTCTGATTGAAACAAATCTGATAAAGAACAAAATTGAAATTCCTAAAACTATTAAATGGTCAGAAATTCAGTTTCCAGAAACATGGCAATTAGATGTTCTTGCCCCTAGGAAACCTGAAGTAAATAAAGAAGGAACACAAATCGCCCAATCATCTCTGGGTGATGTGTTAATAAGGTTTGCAGGGGAGATTTTTTCAAGATTAAAAATCTCTAATAAATCAAGTACTTTGTCAGTATAAAATACTCCTTACAGGAGGTTCATTCCTTCTATTCCTGACAGAAGAAAGGGAAAAGAACCCATAATTGAAGGAATCCACACCTCGCATAACTAGATTTCACATGGAATCTATAGGCAAGATAATGAAATTTCCTTAGAGAAAGATCAAGACCCAATTGTAACTAGAAATTTTATGGATTTAAAACCAGATAAATTTAGTAGTAAAGAGAAATGAAATAAACCAAGAATTTTATCTTCCTAAATATGAGGAATTTAGAACTTGGTATTTTAAAAATATGACCAAAGAAGATTTATCAAAATATAAAGAAATGTTTTACAGGAGAGAAAAAAGGATAATTCCTTTTGTTGAATGGTTTTTAATGTATTATGCACCACCCACAGTTGAGCAATTAAATGCAATTGAAAAGTTTCAACAAAAATGGGAAACCTTAAAAGGGAAAAAGTATAACTAGTAATTATACTCCAACTTCCGAACAAATTAAATTGGATTTAAACGGAGCCGGAGAAATAATAATGAATGCTTGATATGCATTAAAAAATAATGATATTTAAACAACGTAATTATACAAATGTTTGCTTAAAAGTTGTAGAACAACATTTGACCAGAATTGAAACTTGATTAAAGATCAACAAAAACAAGGTTCTACTTCTCAATTGAGAAAATAAATATTAAACCTCCAGTTAACACATCTAAATTTAATCTTCATAACAATGTTGAAGATGAGTTCATAACTGAACTAAAAAATAAATTAAAAATTTTATCCTTAAATGTAATATCTCAAACTTAGAGTGTAGAGCAATCTGAAACTAAAATTCAACTGTTTGAAGAATATCTGCATCAAAAGCAATCTTAAGTAAATAAGACTTGGTATTCTAAACCTAAAAAACAAACTAACACTTATTCTCAAGCACCTTCAATGAGGGCTTATTATCAAAGATCCACACCTCAAGATATTTTATATGAGGAAAATTTTGTTATTGAACAAACTGGATATGATGCTTCATTCATTTATGAGTGGAATATCGACAATATGTCTGAATATGTAATTCATCAAGTTTTACATAAAATCCTTATGTATGCATTTGTACGTAAAACCAATTAAAATACATATCATAACACTGCTAAATTTATTATAGCCGGACTTACTGGTCAATTAAGAGACTGGTGGGATAATTACTTAAGTTTAACCCAAAGATCTGAAATATTAAATGCAGTAAAAATAATAACAATTGTTGATGGAAGTATAACAACTCAAGAAGTCGTTGTATATACCTTAATACAAACAATTTTAAAATACTTTGTATGGACAAGCCTACAGAATACAGATAAGAGTAAAGAACTATTAATGAATCTAAGATGCTCCACTTTAACACATTTTAGATGGTATAAAAATGTATTTTTGGCTAAAGTCCTATTAAAAACTGATGCTAACAATGAATTTTGGAAAGAAAAATTCATATTAAGATTACTCAGCCTATTTGCTGAAAAAATAAGAATTTGTTTAAAACAGAGACATGGTAGATTGAAAATCCCTTATAAAAATTATACTTACGGATAATTAATTTCTGAATGTATATCAGAAAGTTTAGCTCTATATAATGATCTAAATCTTAAAGCTCAGCTTAAAAGACAGAGATTAATAGGTTATAATGAATTAAGAGAATTTTGTAATCAATTTGCCTTTAATATTGATATTCCAAAAGAGAAATCTCAAACAAAACGAAAAACATATTCTAGACCTTAGAAGAAAAGGATAAAATTCTATAAAAGGAATTATGATAAAGACAAAACTAACAAACCTATTAAAAGACATAAGGCAAATGGTAAAAAACCTATTAAGTGTGAAAAATGTGGAAAACTCCTAGTTTCTAACTAAACAAAAAAAATGAGTTAATTCTCGATGAAAATCTTAAAGATAAAATTTTAAAGACTATAATTTATTCAAAAAGAAGAGAAGTCCTCTGATAGTTCATTTTTTGAAGAAGAACTATGTAATATGGAAGATGAAATAAGTAATTTTTCATCTGATGAAGATAAATTAGAACAGGATAAGGCTTGTTCATCACATTGTAAAGTACAAACTAACTATTATACATGAATGGATTAAGTATATATACTTTAACTAAGTCACAAACTTTGATTCTGGATATTATAGACCAGATTCAAGATCATATATCTAAAAGAAAAGCTATAGAACAATATTTGGAAATAACTCCAAAAGAGAAGAAGTCTTCTCTATCGCAACCTTATTCTTTAAAATATGTTTTAAATAGATATGAAACTATGGTAATTAAAGAAAATGAAACCTCAATGCAAGACCTTAAAGGAGAAATTAATCAACTTAAAGTTGAAATAAAGATAATAAAGCAAAGGCTCTTAGCACTGGAAAAAATGCCAGTAATCAAGGAAGAAATTGAGAATACAAAAATAGTTAAATTATTCTAGTGAATACATAAATGTATTAGAAAAAATAATTTATCAAAAACGGTATGTTAAAATTATACTTGTGATTAACCAAGAATTCACTATTGAAACAATTGCATTAATTGATACTGGAGCAGACATGAGCTACATTAAAGAAGGATTAATTCCTACAAAATACTTTGAAAAAATAACTTAGTCATTAAGCACAGCTGATGGTTCAAAATTAAATATAAAATTTAACCTTTCAAATGTTTATATTTGTAATTTAGGAATTTACATTCCTACTACATTTATGTTCATAGCAAATTTAAATCAATTAGTAATTTTGGGAACACCATTTTTATCTATGATTGAACTCATAGAAAGAATAAATTCTAAAGGAATTTTAACTACCTTTAAGGTCAACAAATACTGTTTGAGTTCATAACTCCACCTCAAATAAAAAATGATAAGATCAGATAAAAGAAACTTGATTCATAAAACAAATCAACTAAATTTTCTAAAAGAAGACATTAAAAGTTTAAGCATATCTGATAAAATGGAAACTAATGAGTTTAAAATAAAATTAAAAAAAAAACTAGAACATAAAATAATTCAAGAAATTTGTGATATAATTCTTTCTATCTTTTGGGATAGAAAAAAATATGTAGTAACACTTCCTTATATCAAGGAATTTAATGTAAAAGACATTCCTACTAAGGCAAGGCCTACCCAAATAAATAAAGAATATCTCGAACTCGGTAAAAAAGAGATTGATTCTTTATTAGAGAAATCATTAATTCGTAAAAGTTACTCTCCTTGGAGTTGTGCATCATTTTATGTAAATAACAATACAGAAAATGAGACAATATCTAGAACTCTGTAAAAAAAAAGATTGATTCTTTATTAGAGAAATCATTAATTCATAAAAGTTACTCTCCTTGGAGTTGTGCAACATTTTATGTAAATAACAATGCAGAAAAAGAGAGAGGGATTCCTAGACTGGTTATTAATTACGAACCTTTAAACAAGGTTTTGCAGTGGATTATATATCCAATTCCAAATAAGAAGTATTTATTATCTCGTTTGTATAATGATAAGATTTTCTCTAAGTTTGATTTAAAATCAAGATATTAGCAGATTCAAGTCGCTGAGAAAGACATGTATAAAACTACTTTTACAGTATCATTTGATCATTATGAATGAAATGTAATGACATTTGGGTTTAAAAATGCCCCTTCAGAATTTCAAAATATAATGAATGATATATTTTATCCTTATTATGGATTTTTTATTGTTTACATAGATGATATACTCATATTTTCTGATTCTATTGATTGTCATTTTAAACATTTAAATCATACATTTATTCAAGTTGTAAGAAGAAATGGTTTAGTCCTTTCTACTGTTAAAATGAAATTGTTCCAACTTATAGTTTGATTTTTAGGATTTTATATTGAACTAGAGAATATGGTCCCAATTGAAAGGAGTATTGAATTCGCTTTAAAATTTCCTGATGAAATTAAAGATAAGAAGCAATTACAACAATTTTTGGGAAGTTTAAATTATTTATCAGATTTTTATAAAAATCTTGCCCAAAATACTGTTATTTTATATTCTAGATTTCAGAAGAATCCATCACTTTGAACAAATCTTCACCTTGGAGCAGTAAGAAAAAATAAAGCTTAAACCTAAAAGATTACCATGCCTATCATTGGTAAATCCCGACTGGTATAAGATAGTAGAGACTAATACCTCAAATACAAGTTATGGAGGTATTCTTAAGTAAAATGATCCCAATACTAATAATGAATTACATATTAGATTTACCACAAGAAAATGGGGAACTGCTCCATTAAATTATTCTACAATTTAAAAAGAAATTTTATCCATTGTAAAATGTATTAATAAATTTCAAGATAACTTGTTAAATCAAGAATTTCTATTAAGAATTAACTGTAATTCTGCTAAGAATGTTCTAGAACAAGATGTAAAAAACATTGCTTCTAACTAGAGAATTTTTGCAAGGTTCTTCATGAATAGGGGATGAGGTAATTTCTGTGCCCGAGGTCGCGGAGGAGGCAGATCTAGGGGTAGATCCCAGGTTAATGCCTATTATTCACCTTTAAATGAGTTTAAACAGCTTAAAGTTGTAAATCAACAACTTCTTAAAGAAGGTCAATCTAGGATGATGACAAGTATACAGTCGTCAGGAAGGAGTAAGAAATCTATCAAAGAAGCCTTAATAGCTAAATCTAAGATGAACAACCCCGAGTTAAAAAAAAAAAAGAGTAATGAACATAAGTAAGAAAAGCACAATAAGGAGGAGGAAAACAAGTATCAACAAAACCAAGTCTCACAAGTGGATTGAAAGTGTGAATAAGATACCGTTCTTCAAGTTGAGTGGAGTCCATGGGTTCAGAACTGGCATCGTCAAAGCTAATACTCAGAGAATGTCAAAGATGATGTTTTCTCCTAGTATTGACTAAAGGGTATATATATATATATATAAAGAGAGAGAGAGAGAGAGAGAGAGAGAGAGAGAACAAAAGAATGGGTAGAAAAAGATGAAGAAGGAGCATCCACTCAAGAAGGAAGATCAGAAACATCACTGACTTAAGGTTTTTTAGTATGGGGCGCTCAATTGCAGGAAGACTAAGCAATGGTAATTTTGAGTTATCAGATGAACTGGGTATGGTTCATTTTTCAATTGTGTTTTTGGATTCCTGTAGAAAAACTGACAGAATATCCAATCAACGATGCTACTTCAGTGTCCTTTTTTCTTTTTCAGCTTGAAAACAATAACAAAATTTTAATTGAGCTATATCATCTTTGCTTTGTCACATTCAGTCATCACACACTTAAAAATTCACTTACCTCAACAGTTCATAATTGGATTTAACCAGAGAAAAATGTAAGAGCTGGCCATGAAGAGCATTTATACGCTAATGAGCAACTAAAAGCATGTTCTCAATCAAAGATATGACCAAGTCATAAACATAAAGACCAGGAACAAGCTACCTACTTGACAAGGTCTTCCTCCAACTTGTACTGTTCCTCAACAGACCACTCCACAGCGAAACCCCTATCGTGCTTGAGCCCTGGCATGGAATCCAGCAGAAGAGGAGAGGAATTCCCAGCTTCTGTCGCAATTCCTGAATTGTTCTTCATAATACTTGAATTCCCAGAAAACGTCATGCCCCCCATACTATTTACCCCATGCCCATAGTAATTTCCCATAGGAATCATTTCAGAAGTGCTGTTTATCGCACCCGATTGAAACGATATAGCATGTCGATTAAGTGCAGCGCCCAAAGTCTGGCCGGGGGGAAACCCAGTGTTCGATTCAGCTGCCATTTTTCTTCAAGCCCTAAAACATTAATCGAAAATCCCAACGGAAAGGGTGCTTGAATTTACATAGCGTAAATCCACCGCCTAATCAGGAAACTGAGTGAACACTGCACTGCTTAGGATTCTAAAACCTGAAACACTTTACCTTCTGAAAAGTTCAGAATCTGGAGTAATTCCAAGCCCTAAATTCCAATTAAAACCCAAACTTCCGAACAACAAACCCGGAAATCGAAGAACAAGTACCCCACAAGCTTCATCTCCAGTTCACCATATAACAGTCAACACATTTCCTAACCTCACACAGAGCAATCAAATTTTCATATAATAGAATCACCCCATCACTGAAACTCCAAAAAGAGAGAATTATAGAGACAGAGAGCAGAAATTCTGATGACACCAAGTCAAACAAGCCGAGTAGTGGTAGAGAAACGGAGGGAGAGAAAGGGGAACGGAGATAACTTTAGCAAATGCAAAACCTTTTTTTTTTTTACGGACGGTGCCTTAGTTGGTTCCTCTGTTGCCTTTTTCTGCCATCACCTTCCTTTTGCTTTTTGGTGTTTAGCTCTCCCTCTTTCCCCTAAAAGACAAAAAAAAATACCTGTCAGAAAGTTTATATATTATATTTATATTTATTCTCATCTACCTCCCATTAGGCATCAACTAACATTGCAGCCGGTACAGCCGGTTTAGCCGGTTTGGGCTTCTGAGTGAATTAAAGAACCGAATGATTTTCTTTTCTTTTTTTTTTTTTGGTTTGGTAGATCTTGGATTCAGTGACAGTGCGAATCCCTATAAGCATTTAATTTTAATTATTGTGCACACTTCACCTTTTCCGTGTGGGTGCACCTTCTCTGCTGTAAGGTGAGAGTACTTCTATTTGCATTAAATTTGTGTATAAAAAATGTATATCAAATTGTCGTTAGTTGTTGGATAATAATAGGTCTCGCTAATCTAATCACCGGCAATGATTCAGTGTAATCTTTTGGTGCACAAATTTAGTCTATGTAGCATTGTTCGTGAGCCAAAAACGGCATCATTTTGATACAGTTTGAACAATAAAAATATTTCTCGAAAATCAATTGCTTTGCACTATTAAAAAAATTTTCAACTAGTACCCAATTTCACTCTTCTCTTCTTAATCGCAACGGGCATTGATGTCCATAGAAATCAAGCACGGCCAATTATCTTGAAACACAATGTCTTTGTCTATATGCTAATTCGCAATTTCATAGTGTAAATTTCTTTATATCTGATGATCTATTAATTTCTGAGTGTGAGGATTCCGAATTAGAGAAGTAATTGTGGGAGTGATGCTTTAGCTGAAAAGCTTAAGGCTTTAGAGTGAGATGGTGGTTCACCAGCATTGAAGTTTGACTAGTCCACTCTAATGGAGTATCTTGTTCCTTGGGAGTCTCTGTATTACTTGGGGAAGAAAATTTGCTACAGTGTTTTCTCATACCATTTCCAGAGAAGGCCTATGACGTGGCGGAGTGATTTCACAAGAGGGTTAAACCTCTAATAACAATGCACGAGCTATGGGTTATTATGCTTGTTGATCTAAATGCCTTTCTCTGTCGAGGAGGCTCGGACATGTTTTATTCCAAATGGTGCCAACCTTCCTCTTCTACCTTCATTATCATGTTGTTCAAGGTTAAGTTGTAACTAACAAAAATGATTGATCGAAATACGGCATCATCAGTTGCCTCCCAACTTGAGCTCGAATAGTATCGTCCTTGTCTTCAATTCGGGGGTTTGAATCGAAGTTTACTCCCCATTTTCCTGAATTGATGGGATGTTCTTTTCTCGTGTGTACACCTGACCTTTACAAGTAGTGGACCTTGGAGAACTTTTTAGTGACTTCCTGGTGCATTTAATGCTTGTGATGGATTTGAACCACCAAAACCCAGAAGATATTTGAACTTACGCTGCACTTTAGAAAAGTACTCAACCTTTTCTTTTGAGAGAGAAGAGGAGCTTCAAGAGTCACCAAAGTTGTACCACTTGATCTTCTCTAAATTTTTACCTAATTCACCTGCTTGTTAGGTACGTTTCTTTCTTCTCTCTTCATCCTTGATAGAATTAACCCTTGGTGGTGGCCTATTGGGTTCCGATTCGTGGTTCTTAGGTTTTGCTATTTTAGGTATTCTTCGAGGTCTTTCACACCTTTACCCCTCTTTGTTAGTCTCCCCTTATTGTTTAGGTTGTCTTTAATGAGGTTTTGGAGCCTTGACCTTAGAGCGATTGCAGACTATCGCTCTCATCTTCTCAAAATTTACCTTGATTTGAGGTGTAGGGTTCTAACAGTGAGAGTTGCTTCAAACACTTCCTTTTAGTCGACTCCTTCGAATTCTTAAACACAAATGGGCGATTCTAAGGGTGATGGTTCTTGTTCTTTTGAGGAGGTTCAAGAAGAAGAATTCCTTTTAGCACTGTCGAGACAGGTCCCTCAGAACAACCTTTAGGCTCCTCTATTTTCGTTTTAGACCTCAAGGCCTCAATTTCAGGTTGTCGGAAGGAGGTACTTCAAGTTGAACTATCCGATAGATCAAGAAAAAGGAAAAGGGGGAAGAAAGGGAAGCTCGTCTTCTTCAATATTTTTGAAAAAAAAAAAGAGGCACTCTAGGATCTTTCTCACCTAACCTGCAGTGTAGCCTCAACTCGAAGTCATATGACTAATAGTTAGGCTCAAGAGCTTATAAAGTAGTACAGTTTCCCTCCAAAAGTAATGTTTCATGTCCCTCCAGAAGTAAGACCTTTTTTTTGTGAAAACCTTTGAGGTTGGGCTTAGGTTTTTTATTCACCCTTTTATTCGTGAGGTACTTTGTCATTATACTGTTTGTCTGGCTCAGTTGTCTCCTAATGGATGGGACATTCTAGTAGGCCTATTGGTTTATTGGCAAGAGTGTGGTATTGAGTTGCCTCCCACTTTATCCAAATTTGCATATTACTACCATCTCAAGTCTTCTCCAGCTCCAGACTTCCTGTATTTCACCAAGGCAATCATTTATGACCTCCCTACTTCTCATAAGGGTTGGAAAGAGAGCTTCTTCTTTGTCTCTAGGGACACTTGAGAGCTGGTAGGGGATTCTAATAATACCTCTCGAGTTCCTCGTATTTGGGACGTTTCTTGTAACACTCGTAAGTTTTATTTAGATAGTATTCCTATCATTATTTTGCTTCAACATTCTCCTTGAATTTTTTTCTGATCTGAATTGTGTTTGCAAGATATTAAGCTTTCCTTTTTACTGAAGAGATAATTCGGACTTCCCAGGCTGAGGCCCATGGTTTAAGGTCCTTCAAGGAGCTCGTTATAGCTAAGAATTTGGCCAAATACAATTTTTGGCCCTCGTGTTAAATAACTTCCTTCCACTGATACTGCTGAGATGGCTCCCAACCAAGAACTGATCAGGACGAACATGGAGGAGCATAAATAGAGGAAACAACTTAAGAAGACCGACCTTGCTCCTTTTAAGAAACCTAGGTTTGATCCTCCTCCCTCCTTTAAGGTCATGCTGAGTTCTTTCCCAAAGACTTTAAAAAGCCCTACAACTCGGATCTTAGCTGGGGAGGAAAAGTTGACAAAGGAAGTTGTCGATGTTTAAGCCGACTGCACTCTTCCTCCTTCTGGAAATGTCATACTTCTTCCTCCTTCCCCCATTATCCCTAAGCTCTATCTTCCTACTATTACTAAGAAAGTAGAGAGTGGGAATAAAGAATAAAAAAGTGAGACTAGCTTAAATCCCCTTGGGGGAGTCCAAAAATGAGTCTCCATTTCTTAACCAGCCTTTAGAGGCCGTGAAGGCTCTTTTCAGCGTGGTTTCAAATGACAAGCTAAGCAAGCTAGTGACAACTCCTTACAATTATAAAATCACCCAAGCCGTTCATGGCCTTGCCACGGTATGATTCCCTCAAGACTTCCCTTTTCTTCATCTCTTCTAGGTCTCTCTCCTTTTTTTTTTTTTGGAAATTTGTTCATTTGTCTGTAGTCTATTGCCTTTATCAAAGCCCTCAATGTTGAATGGCAAAAGCTATTCGCCCATAACAAAGCTCAAACCCTTGAGTTAGTCTCTTACAAAGAAGATATGGAAAATCTTCGCCACAAGGTGGACTAGCTCTAAACTTCACAAGAGTTTCTTCCGAAGGAATCATCTTCTAAGGACCTTAAGATTGTTGAACTGATTGGGGTGTCATCCATGAAGGATTCTCATATCACTAAGTTGACTATGCCCTTAGATCGCCCCTCTATGCTGAGGCGAAGGCTAAGGCAAATGCAAAACGACTGCAGGCCAATCACGAAGAGGATTTGAGGGCTTAACTTGAGTTGATTGACCTCCTGAAAGCCCAGGACACAAAAATGAAAAAGTTCGCAAAGAGGCCACGAGCAATTTTGTGGATGGCTTCAAAAATTTTTAGGGACAGGCTAAGAAGTTGTTCCCAAAGATGGACTTTGATTCGATCATGCCCGTCTTTCTTGAGATTGAGGAGAAGGGGAAGGATGCTGAGGTCCATGAAGCTCATGCTGAAGGGAATCTCGAGATTTCTGCTGAATGGGGATCTTGATGTTCTATCTACGGATACCATTGAACTTCCAGGGAAGAAATATGAGCTAAGCTAAAAAGAGTTCTTGTAAAACTTTCTTTTGTACTAGCTTTCTTTGTAAAAACTTTATTTTGTGATGAAATATGACTCTCTTATTTCCTTTATATGACTATTTTTGAGCAAGTGCCCTTGTTATTTCCTGGAAGGCATTTTAGCCTTGTAACAATAACTTTTTTCCTTGATTGAGCTGATAGGTTCGGGCCTGTGGCGGCTCCCTAGACTTAGTATTTTGATAATTTTGTCAAGAGATTTGGCGGTCTTTTTTTGAACGAGATAGGTAGCCTAAATATAAACTGAAAATTTTATCCAAGGTATGAACTGAAAAACTCATCCTTTGGTTCGAGCTGAGAAGCTCTTATAAGTTGAGGAAACTCGCTGGAGACACAAGCCGAAGAGCTCACCTTCTGAACAAGCTGGGAAGTCTCTAGGTGTTGCTAAAGAACTTAACTCGGCTTTCGGAGCACATTTTATGTTTTTCACGTAGATTGAGGAGACGTGATTGTGATGGTTATGCCTTCATAGCGCAAGTGTGCAATTATAGGGTACAACATATGCTGGATTTGCGTGCCACTTCTTTCTCTTTTGCAACACGTTTCTCAAATTTTCATTCATATTTAATGCCCATGTTAATTGCACTTCTGAGAATTGAACCGCCTAAATTTGGGAAACTATTTAAACTTTCCCTCTAGTGGATTTCTCTTTCACCATTGTCCTTTTTGTGCTTTGCCGTGAGATCCTTCATCTACTGAGAAGTTCAACTTCCTATTCCTCTTTGAGCTCCTTAATCCATTATGGATATCAAGGCTGGCTTAGCAACCAGTAGGACTTTTGTGATGGGTAAAAGCGCTTCTCTCAGGACCATAGATCCTGAGTTTTTTCGTTTGTAGGAACTTGATGAGCTAACAGCAGCAAACGTTGCAGAAATTCGAGAATGCTATAGGTTTCCTAGTGGGGTCTTTGCTGATGCCTCATTTTCAATGGCTCGTTATAATGGCGTTTCTCTTGACAAAGTTTGTTTTTTCAAATCTGCTTTCCAAGTTGGGCTTCAATTCCCTATGTCATCCTTTATTAGGTTGATTCTTCATTTCTTTAACCTTTACCATACAAGATTAATGATGGATGGATGAGGCTTGTAAGTTGCTTTTCCCATCTTCTAGTGTCAATTTGCAGCGAAGTCTTCTCCTAGTGTCCCTAAATTTCTTTCCTTTTTTTTCTTTGTTTCCTTCTCTGTTTTCTTCTTCTCTTCCTAGTTGTTATTGCTTCGCACAGAGAGAGGTTGCCCCTATGTTGATATCTGAGCTCCCTACGTCACCCGAGGCCTGGTAGTGTTGTTTTTTCTTTGTGTCGGGGAAAGGTTTGGAATTCACAAATGAGGTTACCTCAATTATTCGAGTTCCACTTATGCTAGCAATGCCCGGGAATATGGGTGAGTTGATTTTGTTAAGCTCATTTCCCTTTCTCATCTTTCTCATCTTGTTTTTTTTTACTCCTTAATTTCTCCCTTTGTTTGGAGTGTTAGTTGAGAAGCCTCCCTTGATGGCCTCTAAACAGGTCTTGATTGCATGAGCTTTAGCTTGTGATGCCAAGTCTTTCTGGGATTTGGTCTGAGCCATAGATCCTCTCGTGTCCCGACTAGAGTTTACCCATGTGTCAGGGAAGGTATTTCCCAGTGAGTTCATCACCAGTGGTACCTATAGTTGTGGTTGTTGTTTATAACTTCGCAAACTCTTTTTTTTCCTTTTCGTAGGTATTAATATTATGACTCGCGATCAAGTTCTGGTCATAAGCACGTTAGAGAACTACCGACAGGCTTGGGATGGGACTCCTATTGATAAGAGTGATAAGAGGGCCAGGTTGGCCCCTGTGATCCCTGAATCGCCTATTATCCAACTAGTCCCCCGAGGAGGCATGCATGCCGTTCTTGTGACTGGAAATGATAACTCTGAAACAAAAATTGTCCTTGGTGATTCAAGGAGATCCTTTGTTCCAAGCTCTTCTACTCTACCTCCTGCTCAGCCCAGCCTTTTATGCAACATGCAACTGGCCAGTCTCGAGTTAATGGGGAATATACCTTCTGCTGACCTTCACCGCTCCTCAACTTTGAGTTATGCTGATAGGGCGAGAAACACCCTTCATGGCTTGATGGCAATATGTCCTTTATCCTTTTGTTCTCGCCTTCCTTTGAAACTTTTTCATCTTGCTGATTGTATTATTCTTTTATACAGGCTGCTACCCACATTAGTACCCTTGCCCCTAAGAACCAACATATTAAGGCATCTTTAGATGAAAGGGAAGCCGAACTGTCTTCTGTTAAGAAACAATGCACAGTGTTGTCTCAACAGCTAATTGCCTTCATCACTATTGAGATTGTTCAAAGGGATCAATTAGCCCAGAAGATTTAGGTGCTATGCATTCTAATATAGGGAAGTACCCGATTGAGGTTTGACAGCGGTGGTTAGGAAGAAAAAATTTGATGTTCTGAATTTGGAATGGGACAACTTTGTAGCTAGATTTGAAAAATTTTAGAAACAAGCTCATGCTAAATTTCTTGAACTGGGCTTTCACTCTTTTTTGCCTATTTTTTATGAGGAAATGGTTGTGATTGGAGATGTAGAGGTTAGAGCTCTAGCCAGAGGAGGGGAAGAGTTAATCCCTATTGACCACCAATGACTATTTTCATTTCTCTTTTTTTTCTTTTGAATGTGACTCCTCAGTCCTTCCTTCTTTTGGAATGAAAACTTTGAATTTTTCTTCTTTTGCAATGTAATTTGTGTTTACTTATTCATCTTTTTCCTATATGCTCCTACCCCCTTTCACTTGTCAAAAGATGAATGCCTTGTGGTGGTGATCTCTCTTTCTTTTTTTTTTTTTTTTTATATAGGATTTCAATCACCAGGCTCTAGTTTTGGGTGGCCCCCTGACTCTTGGTGGTTGTAAATCCTATTGCTAAGTCTTGAATTGGAGGAGTGGGTTGAAAAGTCTGCCCCTAAGCCTAAACTCAACAACTTCCTTAAGATACAAAATGAAGAAACCTCATCCTAGGCTAAGAAACTCGCCTTTAACACAAGTTGTTAGGTGGTATCACGATGGTTATTGATAAGACAAGATTAAGATGATTGTACTTACTCGTGCCATTAAAACGTCGTGAAGTTAAAAAAAAAACTGCTAGATACACCCCCTTACTGGTTGGCTTGCTTTAATTATTCCCTATTAATTGTGCCTCATCATGCTGAATGCCTTTGGGAAGGCCAATCGTTTGTCACTTCTGACAATAAAAATGTGATCACCCTTAAGTTAGTTCTCCCTCTATAATCTGTTTAAAAAGAAAACTACTCTTAAGCAAGGTTTCTCTCTTTTTCTCATGATATGGATACCCCTCTTTCCTCAGTGTTTAGGTGACGTGCAGCTTCACTTAGAAAACCCGAGTTGGGGAGCTCTTCTAGTTCCCAACAACATTTGTAAGGATAAGGTTAACGCTATAAAGAGGCGATACCAATTCCCTATTGGTGTCTCTGACCACATTCTTTCTGTCGACGAGCCTTGCAGCATGCTTTCATCGAGGAAGGTGTGTTTCTTTGAATTCACTTTTAAGGTTAGGCTCAGGTGTCCCATGTCTCCGCATATAAAGTGGATCTTCATTCACTTCAGCTTGTGTCCCTCTAAACTTTCACTAGAGGGGTGGAGCCTTTTTATCGGGATTTTTTCTCCTCTGTCGTATGGAGGATAATGAAAGTTTCCTTCCCTTGCAAATTTTTTGCATTTTTTTTTTACCTAGTTCTTGCTTTTTTCCTTTATTTTTACTGTTTTTCATAGAGAGCTCAAGTGCCTGAGCTAGTCATTGTCTTTTTTGTCCCATCAGAGGGCTGGTAGCATCATTTTTTCATCATATTGGGGAATGTTTGGGAATTTGGAGGAGAAGTCATAGAGGCCTTTCGGGTTCCTCGAATCTAGAGGCACCCCATTAATATGGTTAAGACCCATGAGCATTTTTTCCTATAAATATTTAGTTTTCTTCTTATGTTATTTTTAACAAATTGTTTTCTTGATTAACGCATAGGATACCTTATAGAAGTCCCCGTCTGAGCTCTATAGGATTCTTAATTTTCAGCTCATCGACCAATGTCCTTCAGGAGGTTGGTTATAGCCTAAAAACTCTTTAAGTTTGGGCTAGGACCAGCTCCTACTCTAGAGGTTGTTGATCCCGTCTTAGAGGTTATAGAGGAAGCTCATGATAAGAAAAGGACTGGAAAGGATATTGCTACTTCTTCTTTTAGAAAAATTCTTATGGGGTCCCCTTCCTCATCTGCTCATCCCGAATCTTCTGGAGACTTCTCTCTTTCTGAGCTCATCTTGAGACATGAGCTGGTTTTGAAGAACAGAGAGCTTCTTCTTGTGAGCTTGCTAAAGATACAGTTGGAGGAACTGGGCCTTAAGCCGACAAGTTGTAATATTCTCTTTTGTAACTTGTTTCTTAAGTAAAATGTACAACTCTTTTCTCTTTGTTGTGCTGAATACTAGTGCCCTTAACACATGTATGCCCCCTTCTATAAGTTGACAAGCTTATCGTAAGCATGAGCTAAAAATCTTATCCTAGTTCAAATTTATAAGCATCTGAAGATGTTGCATCTAAAGATGCTTATTGTGAGTTGAAGTGCTCTATAAGTTGAAAATTTTACTGTAAATATGAGTTAAAAAGCTCATCCTCGTTTGACGAATTCAAACGATGGTGCTCATCTTTTACTCTTGGAAAAAATTTGTGTACTCAAGATTTTTTGACTTCTAAACTTAACTATTTATTCATCGATCTGACTTTTGAAAAGAAGAATCCATAAGTTTTGCAAAATAACAAATGTTTGATACCCTTGGCTACTAATGATAAAACTTTTTGAGGTGATATGCATTCAAGAGTGTGCTAAATCTTTTCCCTCATTTTCCTGTAGCTCATAATTACTAGGTCAGACTATCATCTTGACAATATAAGACCCTTCCTAGTTTGGGCCAAGCTTTCCTTGTTTGGGGGTCTTTTCTTGTAGGTAAGAGTTTCTTCAAGACGAGGTCCCCCACCTTAAAACTTCTTCCCTTGATATTGGGCCGTCCTCTTTTGATAAGCTGCAATCCTTTGTAGGGCTTCATTCCTTTTTTCATCTAGGAGATCGAGATTCATAAGGAGAGCACGATCATTCTCCTTGGGATTGAAAAGCTCAGATCTAGTTGAATGATTAAGCCAAAATATTGTATATTTTTCCTATCATTTTTGGGATAATTGTCACGAGTATGGACATAATTGTATATGTTTAATATTATATTTTAGTTTATCATGATTTAATTGGTGTTTGTCTATTTTGCAAGTAAAATGACAAGAAATTATAGGCAAATAGGCAAACATAGGAAGTGGAACACACAAAGAAAACAGAAAAAAAAATTGGAGTTTGAGCTTTAGAAGGCCACGTTCGAACTTCATTTACCCATGTTTGGACGTGAGGTGCTACAACAGAGGCATAAACATACCAGAATTATAGAAGGTCGTGTCTGGATGACACTTTTGTCAAGTCCAGACATGTGTTTAAGCACTGTCACTTTCAGATGCCCGTTCTTGCTCCCAACCAATCAGGAGAGCCTCGATGACACTAGAGAGAGGCACCTTCTTCTTTAGGAAAAGTACTGTAGTACTTTATGGGTATCTTTTAGGTTTTTTTACCATTTTAGGTTAAATTTTGACTCCTTAGTTCTTAATTAAGGTTTGCTATATTAATTCAATTCCCATTGTTTTAGCAAAACTTTCTCTCTATATAATCTCTTGAGTTATTATGCTATATGTGATGAAATCTTGAGATTCCACGTGAGTTAAATAACTAGATTTCCATACTTGGGTTGCATTATTAGAGATTATCTTTAGTTAATTGATTGGTTACTTTTTATGAAATTGGGTATTTGATTGTTCAATTGTTGATTTATTACAGATTTCGGGCATGGTGAATTCTTGTAATTAACAATTAGATGCTCAAAATCATTTGGATAAACTTTTTGATTATATAATAGTGAATTTCCTAAGTAATCCTTGCCAAATCCTTTTGAGATTGGAAATTAGGAGTTAATTGCTACCCAAGTGTATTGAAATAGTACCTAGTGCCTTAGTGTTTTCCAAAACTAGTTTTTCATAAACAATTTTTATTTAATTTTGACTAAATTCCAATTAACAAACCAAACTCTCAAATATTTTCATATTTATTTCTTTGATCTTTTATACACTCCATCAATTCCCAACTCTCTATGGATCGACCTTGGATATCACCAAGAATTATTACTTGTTCGATAACCTACACTTGGGTTTACATCTTCTAAGACGAAGCCAATTTTGGCGCTGTTGTCAGGGAAAAGGTGCAATTGAGGAGTAATCCATCATCATTTGAGGTTTGCGCAATTTTTGCATAAGCAAAGATTGGGTAAACTCTTTCCTCTTTTACATATTTGTTATTTAATTTTCTTGTATTTTATTTTGTTTTGCTACTTGTGTTGGTTATTGTTGCATGACCTCTTGGCATAGAGAAATTGGTGGAAGGTTAGTTAGGAAGGATTTTGACTCACAATTTGGAGATTAGTTTGACATACCCCCACAAGCACAAACACATTGTAGGACGACATGAAGTTATCCAAAAGGTCAAAACCCTTTGCTACCTCCACATCCCCAATTAGTTCAAATCCCTGGGGTACCACAAAACCCACAAGGGGTTCGTAATCCTTTCATGCCACAAGCAGACCCACCAGGGGATGATGCTAGGAGTAATCATGGTGACAATGAGGCTTTGAGGAAGTAAACAATAGGTGTGCTAATGTGAATTTCAATAATGTTAGAACATTGAGAGATTATTTGAATCCTTCCCATCACACTTCACCTTCATGCATCGTTTATCCCATGCAAGCTCATCATTTTGTCTTTAAACTGGGTATGATTGTATTGTTGCCTAAATTCCATGGTTTAGATTATAAAAATCCCTACCTTCATATCTGTGAATTTGAGGAAGTTTGTGCCACATTTCAAGACTTGATGGCTGTGGAAGGTATAATCCGTTTGAATTTTTTTCCCTTCTCTCTAAAGGATAAGGCTGATACGCAGTTAAACTCCCTTAGGCCAAGATCTATTGGAACATGGCAGGAAATGCAAGAAGAGTTCCTTAAAAAAAATTTCAAACTCAAAATAAACACTTTCAAGGGACAATGAAAACAATTTACAAAAGTTAGAAGAGGTTCAAGGAACTACTTGCATCATGCCCTCACCATGGATATGAAAGTTGGTGGATTATAAGTTTTTTCTATGAGGCTTTGTCTTCCCATAAGAGGCAATTAGTGGAAATGATGTGTAATGAGGAGTTCATGGCTAAAGAACCAGAAGAGGCTTTTCCCT